GGCGCGCCCTCATGCCGCCCCGCGTCCACCTCGGCACACCCGTCACGCGTCTCGCGCTCCTACAGGAAGCCCCACCTACGGCCCCAGTGGTCAGGCCGTCATGCCGCACCCCGCCCATTTCTGCGCACCCGCAGATCGTGCCCCAGAAGGGAGCTCGACCTGCGACCCTGGTGGGCGCGCCCTCCCGCCGCGCTCCGCCCATGCCGGCACAGCCCCTCGCACGCTTCGTGCCCCCATGCGGAACCTCGCCCTCTGCGGCCCCAGCGGGCGTGCCCTTCTGCCACACCCCGGTCATATCCGCACAACCCTCACTTTTGCGTCGGCGGCGAGGCAGGGGAAGTCTGACGCCCCGAGCGTGTGGCGCGGCCAGCCACTCGCACACCCCTCACACGGATCATACCCCGCAGGGGCTTCATCGCACCTGCGATGCTTGAGCCGCAGCCCGCTGTCCGCTCCTGCCCCGCGGCGCACATTTATGTGAAGAGATGGCCACGCCCTTCGCGACAAACAGCTGCGCAGTGTCGGGCCCTTCGCGACGCTAATTTTAAGTCGGGCATGTCCCTCTACAGGAGGAGTAGCCAAAAATAGTAAACAAAAACGTCTGGAGACGTTTATTTGTCTATTCTTTATTATTTCGAACATTTTGGGATTATTTTTTAAAGAAAATTCCTCCAAGATCCGCCTGTAGAGGACATGCCCGACCCAAGGCTAATTTTCAAGGCTTCCTCCCCCATCTCCAGTCCCCAGAAGTTCTCGGAGGCTTCCGAGCGCATCCGGAGGCCCAGAACGCCCTCCCCAAGGCGCTCAAGATCTTCGATCCTCACTGTCCAGCGTGTCGCCCGGGGCCGATTGCCGGGGATGGCGCGCCTGCAGCAGCTGGCACGGCGGGACCACAAGGTCCTGGCCGTAATCGGGCGGCTGTAGTCTGTGGCCTCGCACTCGTGGGATAATCCCCTTGAGGGTCAGCGTTTTCATTTTTTTGTTTCTCTCTCTCTCTCTCTCTCGTCGTCGTCGTCGTCGTCGTCGTCGTCGTCGTCGTCGTCGTCGTCGTCGTCGTCGGAGGAGGAGGAGGAGGAGGAGGAGGAGGAGGAGGAAGAGGGGGAAGAGGAAGAGGAGGAGGAGGAGGACAAGGAAAAGGAGGAGGAGGAGGAGGAGGAGGAGGAGGAGGAGGAGGAGGAGGAAGCGGGACTTTTCTCTCCTTTCTTTCCCGCTGTCGTCATCTGGATCTTCCTGTCCTTCCCTTGTCCGCCCTGCCCTGCTGGCTGGTGTCGCTCCTCCCCTCCCCCCTCCACGCTCCTCTCGGGGATGGCGAGGGGGGGGAATCGGGGGGGGGGGGAAGCGGGGGTTCCGAAGACTTCTGCGTGCAGCTGGTTTCGGCTCTCCACCGCGGGGCGCCTTCCTTCGACACATGGCTTGCCCCCTGGCGCCCTCAGTGCGCCCGAACACGGGCGGAGCACTCACTGACCGCCTCATTACACCGATCAGAGATCTCAAGAAAATGCGTAGATTTTAGTGGGCTCAAGATTTCGCTCAAAAAACTCGAGAATCTGGGCTGGACCCTGGGCGTTCTCTTGGAGCTTCGTCTTCTCGTGGAGTGTTCTTTGTATATCTGGACCTGGACTACTGCTTACGAACACGCTTGGAGTGAGGTCGATCCTCTTGGCCTAGAACTTTCCGAACCCGACGCAGGGGTGTATGTGAGGCGTTCCAGAAGAGTGCCTCGCCATCGAGCGTCGAAGGCGGTGATGCCCCGTCCTCGGCAGAGGGCGGGGCGGAGGGGTGGCGGAGGCCCGCAGGTGTGACGTGGGGCTCTGGTTCCGTCAGCGGAAGCTCGGCGGAAGCTCGGCGGAGGCCGGCGGAAATGCAGGCTTACCTCCCAAGAGATTCATCGAGCGCGCTCCACTGCTCACAGAGTGCCCACTCGCAAACGACAGCAGCAGCGAGCGCTGTTCGATGCAGTGGGGCTTATTCTTCGCCACGGCGCAGCGGATCCAGGCCATTTGCGGGTAGCGACTTTGCGAGCAGCGGAGCGCGCTTGTCTAGGGATGGCAATGCTTTTTGGTTCAGGGTTCTCCGAGCCTGCCTTACGCCCCCTCCCTTTTCGTCCACCGCTTTTCTCCTTTCTCCCGCCTCTTCCCCTCGCTCCTCCTTGCGCTTCGCTTCGCCCCCTCCCGTCCTCTCCCCTCCCCGAGGCTCAGTGAGGGAGGGCTGGGGGAGAGGGGGAGGGGGGATTGTAATATAGCGCTGATGCACTTGAGGGTAGGCGTAAAGTCTACGTGTCGGGTGGGTCACTTGGGCTCTCCGTAAGTCGGTGCTGGTGAAGGTTGGGAAGCCCGACCTTAATCTGAGTGTTATAACGTACTTTCCGATTGCACCTGAAATGGTGGTCGGTATGCTTCCGCCGCATTTCTTGGAGGCGGCCACCTCTGCCAGTCCAGACTTGGGAAAGCCTGGGGAGACTGTGAATACTTTTAGTGAGTGTAGCTACTCCAGCCTACTGGAGCATGCGGGTGAGGGATATGATGGTGTATTAGATGGTGTCGCAACACCCGAAACATGTTTCGACACTAGGGGGT